GTTGCCCTGATCCCTTCTCGCGGACTCTATCGCGTCCCTGGTCTCAGACGCGGTCGCACCCAGCCATGGAGAGCTCATCTTCAAATCCCCTGAGGCCGAGCTGATTTCGACCCATCGAGCCCCTCGAGGAAACAGACCGGCTAGCGGTCCTCCCCCACACGCCTCCATGGCAAGAGCGACGAACAAAAACTTGCGTTCACTGGGAGACAGCTCGTGCCTTTCCCATCCTAGAAGCTCCTCAAGGTCCCGAGACTCCAGAAACCTACGGTCGGTGCTGTCCCAAACCCCCAACACAGGATCGAAATCGGATAGGCTGGTGCTGGTCACGACGCGGGCGTGCCAAACCCCCATGTCCCTCAGAAAGACTTCCGTCGAGACTATAGGCCTCGACTGCTCGCGTGACTTGATCTCTAGAGCTTCCGGCAGGCCTGGGGCCTCGGATGCCCTCAAGCTGGTGGCGGCGCTGCGCCTCGGCCGCTCTGGATCGAGACCATCATCTGCGCCGGCTGCGCGAGGTCCTCCGGGTTCATCCGGGGCGCTGCGCTGCCACTGCTGCTGTTGGCCGTCCTCTCGGCCATGGCGCGGTTCTCCCGCATCAGGTTGCTCACGCTCTGCCAGGTCAACTCGTTGGACCGCTGCTGCGTCTCCAGGCACACCTTCATGTCGGACAGCGCGCGCATCATCTCGCTCTGCGTCATTGGACGGACATCCGCCCCCTTCACCTGCTGTGCGTACCTCTTGCTGACCGGAGCGTCTGGAGGCGGTTCCTTGTAGGGGATGTATCCCACGTCCGTGGGAACGTAGAGGTTGCCCGGGACCTCGTCGAGGTTCTCCGTCGCTGCGCTCCTCGCCTTGGGCGTCTTCTGCGGCGGAGGCTTGGGCGGAGGCGTCGGAGTCCACGGGTCGCCGTCCGCGCCGGCCAGCTCCATCAGGTCCCGCTCGTACTGGGCCATCACTGCCGCCGTCACTGCCTTGTTCTGGGCGCGCATCTCCTTGGCTTTGGCCTTCACCTGCTTCTTCACCTGGGCCATGGCCTTCTCCTCGTCGGTCTTGGAACGTAGGCAGAGACGCAGACCGCAGCGCCGGCAGAACGTGTACCAGCTCGTCTGGTTGCCGCTGGACCACTGAGCCCAGGGAGGGTGCGGACAGGTGGTCTGATCGATCGGCTCCGGGCCCGCTCCCTGGAGCAGGTGGGGGATCATCCCGCCCAGGAGGCGCATATCCTCGCACGTCCGCACGCAGCCAAGAAGCTTGAGCCCCATTGACCTCCAGCGAGCCGATGCCGGATCGAACTTGAACTGGCCCTCGTTCAGCTGCTGGATCTCCAGCTCCGTGAGAGCCTCGGCGTCCAGCACCTCGTTCAGCGCCACGTCCGAGAGCCTCTCCCAGCTGTCCTCGGTGACCATGGGAGTGGCCTCGTGGAGCGTCGGGAGACTCGATGATCGTCGTGCTGGACTCGCTGACTGGGATCGAGACTTCTGCACTGTCTTCCTCGGCCTCACCGCCATGCTGAGAACTCACTTCAGGGTCTCGGAAGAGGGTGTCGGGAGGATCTTGAGCCGGGGGAGCTACGGACCCGGGGAGTTTCGACCCGCTGTCACCTCCCAACCTATTCTCGGAAGCCCCCTGAGACTTCAACGTCGGGCCCCCGGGACTCGAGGAGGAGAGGGAGGACATAAAGCACTCCGGCCCTTCAAGGCCCAAATTCTCGCGACCTACCCGCGACTCCTCACTGCCCGATCCCGTACGGTCCTGGATGCGGAAGTTCCGGCACTCCTGCCAAGACGTTCGGGTCCACGAAGAACTCGTCGGGCTCACACCAGATCAAGCTGACCGACCTGTGGCCCGAGGGATGCCGATACAGGGGCCTCGAGACCTGACCCTCGGGCGTGTTCACCATCATCACGTTGAGGCGCATGTCCACAACTCCTCCGATCGCTTCTAGCAGACGCGCCGGAAGCAGAGGCGGGCACCTGTTCGCTATGACGAGGAACTCGACGAATCCGCAGCCGGCCAGCGAGACGGGCACCCATGCTCTGCCAACTGGCTTCGCCTGCCCTCCGATCCCGGACGCTGTCATGCCCGGGACCTCGCCAAAAGCCACGTGGACATCGAACCCCTTGTCGGCGAACGAGTGCACCATGATGCGTAGATCTTCGCGTCCGACGAGGGCCTGTCCAGCCGCTGTGTCAACCAAGGCGCTGTCGAGCATGTTCTTGAGAGTTGGGAGGGCCTGGGCGCTCTTGATGGTCTCGATCAGCCCCGTCCAGTCCTCCACTGACCATGTCACGGTCTGCGTCTCATCGCCCTCGAAGCTCAAGTAGTTCACGTACCCCTCGTCCGTGCCACTCTCGAAGTAGAACGAGGTCTTGGTTCCACCCGAATCCTTCGACCGTTTCTCCTCAGCGAGCCTCTGTTCCTTCTCGTGCGGTGCGGCTTCTTACACGTCTCAGCCCAATGACCTTTCTCCCCGCAGTTGGCACACCTCGACCTTTTTCTCAAGTCCGAGCCTGTGATGCGCTTGTATCCCGGCCTGTTCGCCCTGCGTCTGTCGAAGAAGTCCCGGTCGATCTTTTTGTTGGCCTTCATACGGTGTGCCTCCTGCCATGTACGCTTCCGATCCTTGCCCAGCTTGTCCTCAATGACCGCTGCCAGCACCGTCATCAGCTCGGACTCCTCGAGCTCCTGGTTCTCGAGGGCTGCGAGGAACGTCTCAGCTTCCTCCTCTGGTAACTCGAATGAATCATCGGGTCCTTCAAAGTACGTGTCGATGTCAACATACGGCAGAGGAGGAGGTGGCGGATGTTCCATATCCTGCTGAATCTCGGCCTGGTACGTCTTAGTCACGTTCTGGCTCGCCGAGGTCGGTAGCATCGACTTGTCTCTGACGTCGAGGAGCAACAATGCCTGCCTGATCGAGGTCGAGTCGCTCTTGCCGGCGGCCAGGGTCTTCAGATTGATGCGGTTCTGGGGTGTGAGCTGCGCGCCCTCCTCTAAGAAGCGCGCCTTCACTTGGTCCGGGAGTACCAGTCCGAAACGTTCAGCTTCTGCCGTCTCCAGATCTCTGCGAAGCACGAAGTCCGTCAATGTTTCTCCTCGCCGAATGCCGTGATGGAAAAGTGCTGTGAAGTGTGCCTCTCTTTCTTTGTCTCCTGGCCTTTCGCCGTTCAGAACTGAGAGGTGCTCTATCAGGGTGTTCAGTCCCTTCTCGTGGTCGAGAGTGGGCCTGATGCTCACGAAGCGCTGCTGCACGTCGATGGGCAAGTTCTCTAGTACTTTCCCTGCTCTCTGCTGCTCTGGGTATCCTGTGCGTGCTGCCCACGATTGGAGATTCATCTTGTACAACCTCAAATTCTCGAATCCCAACCATGCTGACGGCGCTCCATAGTCTCGAGATTGCGATCCCCACGACTGAGAGTTGATCCTCCAGTCGTCTTCCCACGCATACCATGAGCTCCTGTCGCGCCACTTGTCATCACCGTGGTCCCACCACTGTGTGGACCAGTCCCAGCTTGTCCAGCGATCTCCTGAACGCTGATCTGGGTCACGATCTCCGTCCGTCTGTGTGCCGGTGGCACGCGTGCCTTCCTCGTCTTCTCCTCCATTCACTGAGTACGTGTCCCCTTCGCCACCCGGCCCCGAAGCCACGCTCCGCTTACCATTGTCATCACCGTGGGTTGACATGGGGAGCGGTGGGACTTGGAGAGAGGAGGGATGGGTTGCATATCAGCGCGAAGAGAGATCCATCTCGGGCACTGAGCCTAAAAGGCTGGGCACAGCTAAAGCACGAAGGGGAGGGGAGGGAACCGACCCGAGAGACACGAGGGAAACCAAACATAGACTGAGCCTAAAAGGCTGGGCACAGCTTAGATTGGGCACACCCCTCACACGTTTCGTGGCCCCATAGGGAGCCCCACCGAAGGCCCCAGTGCTGCCGCCCGCATGCGTCACCGCACACCCAATTCGGCACACCCCTCACACGTTTCGTGGCCCCATAGGGAGCTCCACCGAAGGCCCCAGTGCTGCCGCCCGCATGCGTCACGCACACCCAATTCGGCACACCCCTCACACGTTTCGTGGCCCCATAGGGAGCTCCACCGAAGGCCCCAGTGGCGGCGCTCACATGCGCATGCGTCCCGCACACCCATTTCGGCACATCCCTCACAGGTTTCGTGGCCCCATCATCCACCGGAGGCCCCAGTGGCGGCGCTCACATGCGTCACCCACACCCACCCAATTCGGCACACCCCTCACACGTTTCGTGGCCCCATAGGGAGCTCCACCGAAGGCCCCAGCGGCCGCGCTCACATGCGTCCCCGCCACCCATCCCGGCACGCCCCTCACAACAACAGGTTTCGTGGCCCCATAGGGAGCTCCACCGAAGGCCCCAGTGGCACCGCCCGCATGCGTCACCACCCGCACCCAATTCGGCACACCCCTCACACGTTTCGTGGCCCCATAGGAGCTGCACCGAAGGCCCCAGTGGCGGCGCTCACATGCGCCCCCGCCACACATCCCAGTACACCCCTCACGCGCTTCGTGGCCCCATAGGGAGCTCCACCGAAGGCCCCAGTAGCGGCGCTTACATGCGTCTCCGCCACCCTTCCCGGCACCCCCCCCGCAGCAGCATCATGTTTCAGGGACCCATAGGGAGCTCCACCGGAGGCCCCAGTGGCGGCGCTCACCTGCGTTTCCGCCACCCATGTCGGCACGCCCCGCGCGTGTTTCATGTCCCCATCATGTCCCCATAGGGAGCTTCGCCGAATGCCCCAGTGGCACCCATCTCGACACACCCCTCACACGTTCCGTAGTCCTATGGGGAGTTCCACTGAAGATGAAACCCACAGCTGCGGTTCTGACAACTGCATATGGTTGGGTTCTTCGCCAGGCTAATTTGTTGCGCTGGATCCGAGGCGCGCGCGGGGCGAGCGCGTGGCACTGCCTTCTGGGTGTGCGGGGACAGCGGCTTTCGAGTCCACAGACCGCGATCGTGATGGGAGGTTCGTCTCCGGGCTTGGGTTGGGAGGAGGATGCTTGCTGGATGACAGAGCTCAAAGTGGCGACAGGCCGAGGAGCGCACAGGAAGCTGAGACTTGGGAGACTCCCCGTCCTCGTCCTGCGGTCCTCGGGACGATTGTCGCGTAGAGGTGCGCTGCACGCGTCGGGTGCCGTTCCGAGGGGAACATCTCCTCCGCGCCCGGCACAAATCTTCTCTGACGGATTGTGCTGACCTTGGTCCGCCAAAAAGGGCGGCGGGAAGGAGAGGG